CCAAATGAGAAAATACACATTTAAGAGAAAATATACATTTTCTTAAAACCTCCAGAGAACCTATTCATGAAAGTAGTTGTGTATTCTATTTAAACAAAAGAATCTAAGTTACACTGAGAGAAAAATATGGTTACTTTCGCCCCCAACAAAACTGTTTTGTAATTTTAACCACAAAAATGGTTATAATAACCATCCTTTTATTAACACTTACTAAAACAATGGTTATTCTGACTATTTAAATAGTTAGTGTTATTAGAAAGATGGTTATTCTAACTATTTTTGTGGTTAAAATTACAAAACAGTTTTGTTGGGGGCGAAAGTAACTATATTTTTCTCTCAGTATACGCAAATAAGTTATCAGTATTCCCATCAAATAAGTATACTATCTTTCAGTGTGTATTGCATAATATTTAATAATATTAAGAAACATAAAATTCGATGAACTTTCGCAAGCTCCTAATACCTGTCCGACGGTTCTCTCTCTCTCTCTCTCTCTCTCTCTCTCTCTCTCTCTCTCTCTCTGTCTGTTTCAGTCTTTCCTTCTCTATTTCGAGTCGCTATCGCGTTCATCCACCGCGACTACGCGAGTCCAGATATCTTAAACGGTACATAAACCGGCCGTTCTCTCCGCGTCCGGTGGTCTCGCCTGAAGTTTTCCGCGCAACGAGCACGACGACGTCGCGATGCGATGCGCCTCATCTCCGTCTCGTCTCGTCTCCAGCTGCGGCTGGCTGGCTGGCCAGCCGTTCGTCGTCGGCGAATCCCCTTGGGATTTGTTATCGACGTCGGCCACCGTTCGCGGTACAGTCGTGCGTTCGTGCGAGCCACAGGATAGCCGTCATACGACGTCGTTATGCGACGTTATACAGCCCGGCCGCGGGGCATTACGCCTTTACGACTCTTTCGTGTAATTGTCGAGCTCGTGAACTTTTACGAGCGGCGGATGATCGCCGCGGAGAGCGTTCCTCTGTCCGGCCGCGATACAATCCGACACGTATCGGCACGCCGATCCCGCGATGCTCCATCACGGGCGCGAGAACTCGCTGTTGAAATTCCTTTTGACGGGACGTAAAAGTAATCCTCGTACACGAGGAACACTCGTCAGGGGGAGCGCGAAGGCGACATCGAAGGCGATGGGGCCGCCCTGCTCGCGGTTGGCACGACTACGTCGTTTGATTGAATCGTTTCGCAAACGCGAATACGTATACACGACAACGTAAACAGCAACCGCGTGCGCGCTGCCGCCGCTGCCTCCGTCGTTCGCGTTCTATGTATACGGCCGAGGTATGTTTTTCTTGATTAAATCAAAGCCAACTCGGCCGTGAAGCGTGGCTACATCGAGGGCGAAATTTGCAAGTCGTATGCGGTCGAAGAGATGTCGCCATCGCTAAGAGAGCGCGCTCGCAACAAGAGCGATTTCCATTGAGCGACGATAGAGAGCCGCGATAAGAGTCTCCATCCCCCTCTGCCCTCTCGTTTGCGACGGGGGGAGACGACGGGCCACGTTGGCGGGATAGATATCGATCGTGATCGATATCGTCCGGCTGCTCGGGGAATTGAAAGATCGTAGCAGCCCCGAGTCGTTTTCGCAATCAAATCGCTCTCGCGACTCGGTCGGGGAGTGATACGGCGGGCGGAGTAAGTTCCCCCGGCTAATAACAGCCCCGAGCGCGCGGGGACTTTTCTCAAACGGTGGAAAACTCGACGTGGAGAAGCGAACGCGAGTCGTCTCCTGAGGTCTTATTCTGGACGCATACACGGAGAGAGAATGTTAGAGTTTCATTTCGTACAAATTATGGTCAATTTTACTATGTTTCTGGTAATGCACACAGGAATATAGACTGTAGATAAGGTCTGTTTTGCCAAGGAACACAGTAAGTTTTGCTGGGAAGCAAATGGTTTACATGTTCAGTTCTCTGAAATATAAATGAGCTAGTAAATTTTTTATCATCACATGTCAGTTTTCCTAAGGTATAAACACGTAAGAAATGAAAGGATAACATATTACTGCAACACATGCCGATTCTCGCTTACACAATTCTGTAGAAATTTTTACTACAACATTACCTCCGTGTGTTTATCGAACAATATTTCCAACGTGTCAAGTATGTTCTTTTAATTCCAAATTTTGTTATTTTGATACAAGCTACATAATACAACATTACTTCAGCTTGAGGATCGGAAAGACATATCTAGCATTTGACACGCGTCCGGGATACGATCTTTGGACTCTTCGCGCGCGCGTAAGAGAGAGGAACAGACACGCCGCGAGAGAGAAGAGAGTTGCTGTGTTTCCTTCGTTTTTGGCGCGATGAAAAACGAGCGCGCATAAACGCGCGGCGAATAAGCGGTTACCGTGCTACGTGGTGAATATTCCCGGTCGCCTCGTGGACGTTTTACGCGGCTTTACTTCATTATCGTAACTGACTGCTGCTGTTCACAGCGCACCGCTCCGTATTAGACGTCTCGACCGCGCGAGCAGCGTTTCCAGTCTCGCGATAATTAAGATCCCGACCTCTTTCCCTTTCCTGACGCGGTCCTCGGTCTCGCCCTCGGGGAAAGTCTATTAATTAAAGGCCAATTACTTCGTTGAGACAGTCTGCGGCGGTGAGACGATCTCCATGTAGCCGCGATTCTTAATCGTTTCTCTCATCCTCCCCCTCTCTCACTGTTTCTCGTACTCTGCGAATCCACCGAAATACTGTGCAAGGAGGGGCAGAGAGGAGCAGGGAGGAGAATTCTTCGTCGAGCTTTATCGCGTAAACATTAGATCGAGTAGTTCGTAATCGATTTTCCAACATGGTGGTGGGTGGTGGTTAAGCGACGGGGCGAGGCTGCGTTGGCGAATTTTTAATCGTCTCCGCCCGCCCCCTCTCGACATTATAGCGATGTTGACGCGTGTAGGAAAAAGACGTAATTACGTTCCGTTATAACGCGAACGTGCGTTTTACGCGCTTTCAGCGAAATTATTATTTTCGCAAGAACAGAGTCGATTGAAATATACATTTCGCGATTTATTGATAATGCTCGCGAGCGCGAATGTAATAAAAATATACGGGCGGATTAATTTATATTTAAAAGCGATGTGCACGCGCGGCCGAATTTTACATTCGCATTTTCGTACATGTATCGCGGCGCTCTCTCGCAAATTTACAAAATAATCGTAATTTCGAAGATAAACCGCGCTAAATGAATATCGAATTATTAAAACAAACGGGTTTAATTAATCGCGGCCTGTCCGGAGCAGGCCCGTAAAATATTCATTCAGACGAATTTGCTGGCGTTTAAAGTATTAACGGTAATTCTATCGCATCGCGAAACAAATATTTCATTCCCCCGACGGTAACGGGCGCAGATCTCCCGCGCACGGGAACATTCGCGAGAAAAAGGACCTCGCGCGATCGCTCCTTCGTTTATTACGTTTGCACTCACCATCAGCACCTGCCTCTCCTCCCCGCCCTCCGTGAATCCGTGAGAAAAACCCTGAACCGACTGTGCTGCCCCGATATATTAAAGCGCGGTTTAGTGCGCTCTTTACGATCGCCGTGCAATAAAGCTCTCCTCCGTCTCCGACAACGGTCGTTGATTCGCCGAGATACATAACGCAGTGACTGTATTCAAGACGCTCGTTAAAATCGCGAACTGCCGGGGATTTTCACTCCGCTCTGCGGTCAGGCAGAGAGTCCGTGTGTCCTGCAACGTCGTTGTCGCGCCTTCCTCCACCTCGGATCCCGTTGGTCCTCTTGGATTCCACTCGTCGTCGTCTTCGTCGTCGTCGGAGAATACCGAGCGTGTATTCGCGCTTGACTACACGTTGTGTGTTGGTCGTAAACGCCGCGTTTAACGGGAAGCCCCGCGAGCCTCCGCGACGTGGAAAATTGCGTACTCACGTGCGAGCTGAGAACCGCTGTTCGGTGAGCGAATTAGTTAAAGCCAGCCCCGGCTGGAGTCTTGTACACACGATGTAGAAACGATGTTACGAGAAACCGGTCTTTGGTCGACACGCACACGCGCTCTCTCTCTCTCTCTCTATCTCTCTCACTCACATACACACAGCACACACATGTGCACTCCTTCCCGCCGAAGGAGGAGGGCCAAGAGAGCGCGAGCTCCTTCCTCGGTGTTCCTCGTTTTTCTCATTTTCTCTCGACGCGCTTATCCCTCTTACCGAGACCACGGTCTCGCATTACGGCTCAATTTGGTCCGCTTTTCGTAATCTCGTAATCTCATTTGATCGATATAATCTCGACCCTGCAATCGCGAAGGGGCTCTTAGGGATCCTATCAGCGCGAACAGGCGGCGGCGGCGGCGGTTCCCGCGGCCGGTCATTACGGATTCAAGGCGGCGTCTTGGTTTACGAAACTCGATAATTCGATTAATCACACGGCGGAGTGGCCTCGCCGTTTATTCTGCCGTGTAATATTTTATCCATCTCCCTCGATTATTACGCGGGCGCCCGTGGCGCGCTTGGGGGCCGACACGCCGTGTAAGACGCCGATGAATTGTCTCTCGTCGTCGATCAGAGAGAGAAAGAGAGCGATGTTTGTCCTTCTTTTTTTTTTTCCATTCTTATTACTTCTCCTTTCAATCGCGCGCATCCGTGGCACAGATTCAACCGTGGCCCCGCGTTCGACGGCACATTTTCGCTTACCACCGTCTTCGTCCGGAAGTACGAAACGATGACGACGATGACGAAGTCGTCGTCGCGGCTAAAACGCGCGCGTTTGGCTTCCTCCCATGTGGGGCGACATTCCGGCAAAGTTCGGCTTGCGCATGAGAGAACGCACGCGTCGGCTTGCGCTTTTAACGTCGACACGGCTTCGTTAAGGCACATGACAACGCAGCTACATAACGCTACGCTTACACTAATCTCGTGTGACACACAACACATACACACACACACACACACATGCATATACAACACATATACACCACGCATACATTCCAAGTTACAGTACCGACTACTGATCTAATCTTCCTGTTTTGTTTCACTTTTGCAGTATTACGAGATGTCGTACGGCCTCAACGTGGAGATGCACAAACAGGTAAGAGCCAGTCTCGCGCTCTGTTTGAGAACACCTCATCCGCGATATCCTCCACGATCCGCCACGATCGATTTTCGCGGCAGCATTACGCGGTGATTTATTAATCGCCCCGTTGGCACGTTGCGCGCGCACGCGCGGTCTTTAATTCGAAATTAAAGGGCCGTGCGAGGTGAAAGCTCCGATTACGGGGTGTTTGCGACCCTCCGGGATCTCAGCTATTGAATAAATATGTAAACAAGGTAATAATATGTAAATAGAGCGCGGTCGGGGTTTCCACGCCGCCACTGCTGCTGCTGCTGCTGCTGCTGTCGCTTCTTGCGCGAAAACTTGTGCGACGAAAAAGGCAACCCAATTCCCGGGACTTTTATTAGGAATTACCGAGATCGCGTGCGGCGGCGGCGGTTTTTCGAGGAGCACTCGGAACGAATGGCGGAGTTGTGTTACCTTTCCCCTCCTTTTTTCTCCGTTCTTCTCTTCGTTTGTTACTCTGCTCTCCATACGATTTATCAAATCGAATAATGCATCGCGTCGAAATGCATTCTTTCTCCCTGCCTGTGCCTATTCATACGACTGGCGGCTGCAGCGCCGACGTATTATTTTCGGATAAAGATTCATTTCGGATCTGCATTACAAAGATCTCGTCGTCAAGTCCCCGAGTTGCATTCTATCCATATTCATCGTGGCGATCGAGCAATTTGAATTTTTTGTTTCCCCTCGTATGCATCCATCCGATTGCGGCGACGGCGTCGACGCCGTCGTCGTAGCGGTAGGTATTGCAAAACGCGCCGATTTCGTATCTTTCGTCACAAAGTCGTCGTCGTCGTATCTCTTTCTTTTCGAAACGAGAGAAAGATGGTGTGTCCCGATCGTATCATTTGGACTCGGCGAGAACGGGAAACAAAAAAAGCGTTAATCGATTCAGCAACGACAACGACGACGAGAGATCCCGGGTTCTTAATTACCCACAAGACTCAGCGAATCGTAGTCGAACATCCGCGAGCCGAATGTATCTCCGCCTAATCTCGTCGTAAAAATAAATTTATGAATCTCAGCTCTCTCGCGCGAACGTCTGTTCATTCGCCGCATTGGATTCGTGCATCCGTTCGCGAAGTTCTCCACCAGGTATCTCATCTTTGTGTGTAGAGTCGAGTTGCTGAAATCGTACCCATCTCCTGAATCGCATCTCATCTATTCCTTCATTTTATTACCGAATATGAACGATATTCAACGATAAAATTGAGAAATAAATGAACAATGAAAAACATAAACAAATATTTTTCAATCATATACTATTTGATGCGTGCCGCATCAAACACTTAAAGAGATCGTGTACGATCCATGAGAAAAGAACAGTACAATTAGCCCACGCGTAAATCTGGTTAGGCTAATCAGATACAATAGTAAAATACGAAACAACTAATCACGTGGTTGCTGCACCACAGAGCAATCGTTGAGTTACTGACATTGCAGCAATGATGATATCTGATTGCTCCAGTCAAAGTGTATTCACGGCAAATGTCATCCCAACCGATTTCTAGTCGCCACAATCAGATCACGTGCCGCTACATTGATGTAGCTGATGTGTCAAAGTAACTGAGTCATGCCAACCATACGCGTTACTATCACACTGAGAGGAAGAAACGGTTGATCTAACTAAAATTGTAGTTACTTTTGGCTCCAAACATATGTCGGTTGTTTTAACACGAAAATGGCAGTAGTGCACACAAAATTATTATTATTAATAGAATAATATAATAGAATTTAATTAAAAATAACTTTCTTGATCATAGTTTGTAGCAATTATTTCTCTGTGATTATAGTGACAACTACCAAACATCTTTTTCTTAGTACACAAAAATAACCAGGATGATGCAGCTATGTTGCTTACAACTAAATTTTTCCGATTATCATATCATATTATTTATATTATATCTTTCTGTACGATTTCGGCAATACTCCTTTACATACGAATATTGAGCAAATTTGCGTCGAATTATCGACAGGTCGGTGTTAGACGTAGCGTTCGAGCACGGACATCTTAAGGAAAAAGAGAAAGAGAGAGGCATTCTGTTGACGCGGGTCGAGCGGGGATCTCGATCACGAGATTCCGACGAGAATGAATAGCGATCCTTCTTTCCTCACGCGTCTACTTCGATATTCTCGCTTCTCCTCCTCCTCCTCCTCCTCCTCCTCCTCCACGTCGTCGTCTACGTTCCGCTATAATCTACCTCGGGCGTGCAGCGACGAGTAATGCTCACGTTTATTGAATATTTAGCAGCTGAGCCCGTTATTTCCTCCACCCCGCCGCTTTGTATCCCGCCTATTCTTGCCTTCTCCTCCGCCTCCTCTTCTTTTTCCGGCAGGATGCGTCCCTCAAATCATGAATAAAACCCCGCAAGTTGACCTTACGATTCGCACGAGGCGGCAGCAGCCAACCAAACAAGTCGGGTAGCGGGTTCTTCATATCTTTTTGCCGCACGAATAACGAGTTGACACATTCGCGTATATTTTAAGCGCGACCAGAGAGATCCCGCAGGAGTAATTATGCGAGTAATGATTAAACAGCTCGTGCAAACGACGGCACGAGGCGAGAGTATTTGCAAGTTGCGCGATCACGTCCGATCAGAACCGAGAGACTCATTAGAGATGTCGACGTGCGACGAGTGTATATATGTGTGTGGCTGCGCGCGCGCGTGCGAATTCCTTCGTCGTGCGAAGCAACGAGAGCAGAAGTAGGATGTAACGTGCTCCGGGGGACGAGACGGCGATTTTTCCACACGGTCGGATTTCCGCTCGTCGCGGCGAGAGTTACGTATTAAGGTTGAACGAGGAGCGTAACTCTTTCAGGACTCCCTTCACGTTCGCGTATTCGCTACGTGGAACAGGCCGTCGCGCGGATAGGAGGAGATACACATCGTGCGAAACGTGCGCGGTATTCGCTGCGATGGAATATAAATTCCGACGGGAATCGCAATACGATCGTGTCGTATCAGCCGTTTTATGCCGCCGGTATCTTCGCGAGATAAGCGCTCACGTAGCGGCGACGGCATTTTTCACCGCCGAGGCTAGTTAGGCAGGTAACGCGCAGGTAAAAGCGCGCCTGCTCCGTCACGTACTCGCGCGAATTAGAACGGTCGTTATGTCGTTGTCGCCTGTTACTTTTAATTCGATTAGGATTTATCGCGCACCACCGACAGTCGGACGACACCCCAGCGGGGATTTATTATTATCGCGCGCCCGCGCGATTTACACGCTCTCGTACTCGCCGCGACGGTGTACGATCAGCGGCGCGACCCCTACGTATATCCAGTCTCTCATATTTATAAAATCGAAATGCCGTGCCGATCGGTCGGTCGGTCGGTCGGTCGGTCGGTTGGCCGCTCTTGCCAGCCAACCAACCAGCCAGTCAGCTAGCTGGCCTCGTCGACACGCTCTCGCTCCTGCCACGCGGTCCCGCGATTAATAGCCCGCGTTTATGACGAGGCCGGGGCGTTGTCGTCCGAGCGCGCCCCGTGCTCCATGCGACGCGATGGAAATAAAACAAAAAAAGCGCGGAGGAAGGGGGGAGAAAGAGAGACAGGGGAATAAAAAAACGCGCGGCTGGGCGGGCATGAATAACGGACGCCAGACGACGAGACGCGAAAGAGCACAGCGAAATATCGCGGTGGCCGCGATTTATCGGGTGTTACATTAACGCCGACCAGTCCCGCGGTAAGTGTCCACGCACATGCCGCTGCGAACGCCGGCTCGCTCCCCTGCCTCCCGCCGCCGTCCCTCCCCCTCTCTCTCCCTCTTGCCTGGAGGTTATTAACGTCGCTAATTCCTCGGCAATTACTGTCATCATCGTCAGCCGTCTGACCGCAGCCGAGCTGTTACGTTTTCCTGTTACACCTGTACGATAATCATTGTCAGCCGGAATCACGCTCGCCGGGATAGTTTATGGAGATATCGCGCTCACGCTCTCGCACGGCAATAAACGCGCGCGTCGTCCTCCCCCTCCCTTATCCCTTCTTCATTCCTGCCGCGTTGTCGGCTATGGTGGTAGCAGTAGTAGTAGGACTTTTTACTGCTCGCGCGGCGTGTACACACGCACGCGCGCGGGGGGGG